CCCCAAAACCCCAAAACCCCAAAACCCCAAAACCCCGCAATGTAAATTCTCTACTGAATTATTAATCAATTGGTTAATTGATTCTCCCAACCTGTGCAGTAGTAGTGGATCCATAGAAGCTGGTATCTTTCGCTCCTATAGACTTATTTATCGCATTTCTCTTATGCTTTCGCTTCAAGGATTGTGTCGTGAATGGCCTTCTTTTCATGATCTCTTTGTTATTATTTACCTTCCTAATCATCCTAAAGTTTGTATAATTCACTTTATTAGGAGCTGTAGTGTATGATGAGTCTATCCTAGTATCTTTGTTAGTTGACGAGTTCTAAAAATTAAACCTCATGGTTACATTCAAGCCATAGTTTGATTTAGGATTTCACATTCTCAAGAATGAATCTTCTGATTCTTTCCTTAAAACTACATATTTCGAACGGTTCAAATTCCGCTTGGCCATCGACATGTTTATGAGATCCAGACTTGCATTGTTAATATCTTCTTCATTGGTCTTATAGCTAATGTGGGTTAGATTTGGATCCTTTGTGCTCTTTTCAATGTTGAGGATTCCATCATCATTGCTTACATCAACACCAGTGATATCTTTTTGGCTCAGACTTATCTCTTTTTCATGCATGTTCGGGATCAGTGTGATTTTAGTAATAAATTCAGCGAGTAGATCTTCATTGGAGACAAATTTTTGAGTCAAGGAATCAAGAATTCTATTACTTGCATTTGCTTTATATGACTCAAATGGTTTATCTTTATCCAATTTCTTTGAGTGAATTGGCCTACTCAGATTTCTACCTCTTTTCCCGGGAATAGCAGTCTGTATATTCCTCTTCTTCTGAACGCTCATCTGGCGTTTTGTATATTCTGCCCATTTTTGATGCTTTATTTCTTCAGTATCATTTACTTCAGGTCCTCTAGGCAAGAATTTCTTTCATTCTTTTACTCAGTCAAGTAAGAAATTTTGGAGCTCAATTTTATATAAAACTGCGTCAGATTGCTTGTACCTCATCTTTCTGATCGTATTATTGCTTGAAGCTACAGTGTAATGTGACAAAAAATTACCAATCTCAATCTGTTTCCTCAGTCTTTTAATCTGATTGTCAATTGATTTGTCTTTATGGAATTGATACTCTATCATCTTCTCCTTGAAGATTTCATCAGTACAATTCGGATTACACAAAAGTTGGTAGACATAGTCATTTATCGGAAGATTTCTATCAACTTTTTGAGGGTCCTTCTCGACTCCAACATACTCATATCCATAACTCACATAATCTTGAGATTTTTGATAACTATCTGTGATATTTGCCTTTTGATTCTTATATTCGATCTCTCTGATTGGACTTTCTTCACGCTTATTCAGTATATTCGTGCTACTTCCTTTAAGAAGATAATCCTTTGATTCTTCTGTTTGGGCTTCTTTCTGATCTCCTTGAATATCTTCCTTTTTATCAATTTTCTGTGCAAGAAACTCCCCATATTCTTTCTCATTGATTTTGGTGAGTTCAATGAACATCTGATTATAATGAGGATTAGTGACTAATTCTTGCCTCAATTGAGCAGGGTTCATAGCTTTTAGCTCTTTCAAAGTCTTCTTATTTTTAGTCATTACATGTTCTAAAATATGATGCTGTCTCTTGAGTCCTTTGGTTTGCTCCTTCAAAATCTTATTGTTGTCTATGAATTAGGGGACAAATCTACATTCAACAATATTTCGCTTTTTACTTTTCAACATCTGGATTTCTCTTTTCTGCAATTCATATGTTTCAGTGAGCTTGTTAGATTCATTTTTATACCATTCGATTTCATCGACCAGATCTTTAAATTGTGCTTGCTTTTTAGCCTTATTTTTCATCCTCTTGTTTCTTTACTTTGCAAAGTTCTTTTTCAATATTCTCCATGTGCTCTATTAAAGTCAGAGAGAAGCTTTACCCTTGTAAACTCTGACAACTTCCTTCTCTTTTTGAGATTCTAAGTTCATGAGGGTGCCTAAATTGGATAAATATGCTAAAGAGTACCCTTGATGGAGTCAATAAGATCACTCGATTTATTATGGAAATCATCCATCATCTCTTTGATGTTAACTCTAGCCTATTTAGGATATTAGCTTATGTACTTTAAAAATTTGGTCGTTAAATACCTTATCTTCATCTTTGACGGCACCTAGACAATAAGCTTAGTCATTAAGAGGGGAATTATTTACTTGTCCTAACTTTTTGCATCATGAGAGAATCTATCCCTGTTATTTTGACACTGTTTGGCTATAAAACGGGGTAAAATTTTATGTTTACTTCCTCAGTAAAGTTTCTTTTGAAATTGAAGTGAACACCAAGTCTGCTTCCTTTACCGCTGTCACTTTCATTCGAGGATGCTATCATTTGAATTTAAATTTATTTATCAATAAAAAATAATTAAATAGGGGTTTTGGGGTTTTGGGGTTTTGGGG